TTTAAGTGAGCATTCTTTCCTCCTTTAGCAAATAAGACTTAACATATTTATAGACAAACCTTTTAGTTTATCAATTATGCCTGTTCCACCATTTCCAAATATCTCCTTGCTCTTGCATAAAAGGTAAAAATTGAGTGTTATTTTTTAAAAAAGTGCAAAGACTGTCTTTACTGAAGGTACTAATCAAATGCTAGCTGTTTTTTTTTTTCAGACTGATTTATTTTTTCTTTTGGATTGTTTTAATATATGAGATTTGGTCCGAACATAGAGTTTGGATGATGATATGGATTAAAGTTGACAACTATCTATTAGTAGAAGTGTTCTTTTTTTCATTAAACCAAATCCCAGAATAATGAAAATGTCCTTCTGTGAAGGAATGATATTCAGGACTGGTAAAATGCACCTGCAATCTATAGTCCTCCTAAAGGTTTTTAGATATATATGTGAATAATCTTAACATGCACAAATACTATACAAATATTACTTCTCTTTATGGTTTCTAATTATACTATATGCATATACATGGCTAAATTTGCTCATTACATTTGATAAGGAAACTAGTGCATCCAAGGTGCTGATTTATTACCAGACTGATGAAACCGCTCCGGAATATAAAATGACTCTGCCCATGGCACAGTAGCATGACCATGCAGAGTTGCACACTTAGCAAGCAAAAAACCCCATGATAAATAAGAAAATGTATGCCCATAAAACTTTAATAAATACCAATATAACATGGTGAAATTTTCGTTATTGCACGATCTTACACTCCAAACGTTAGTACATTTTTTACCATGTGAGGCAATTTTCATAAGTTACAGCAAAGAATGTTGGCTATTACTCTTTCATATCTGTTTCTTAACTATTCTCCTATTGCTTGAGTCGTCACACTCTGGGATTGGTTTAGAATTTGTCAACTGTGTGACTGGTTTTGCAAGTAATTATTAACTTTCCCTGATGCATTTGTGTTCACATTAGGCTATTAGCTGGCTAATATTAACCCTATTGATGTCTGATAGCAAGAAAATGCTCAGTTACACTTCTATGGATGTCTCTTGTATATAGATTTCTGTAGTTATACAGTATGCCAGTCAGTTATCATCAGTGATCTATTGTTTAAATAGGAGTGCAGAATAGGGTTGCCACCTTTTCTTCAAGCCAAACCTGAACACTTTAGCGGCGCACAGCATTTTTCTTGGAGTATACACCTAGGACACTTTTGGGTGCCCAAAAAGAGTAGTAATGCGGCTTAGCACACTGATGGGAACAGTGGGTGTTGCCAAATTGTAAGTGTTATGCATGGAATTCAGAGGATAGGAATAATTATTGTACAGAATGCAGGGGACAGGAGCATGTAATGCATAGTAGACGGCAGGAGTCAAGGATGTGTAACGCACAGTGGAGTAAGGAGAGGGCAAAATTACCTCCTACCCTTTTATAAAAATCTCCATTCCCTCTCCTGCAAAAAAAAAAAAAAGAAAATCCTGAACTAATTTTTATGCTTACCCCCCACCACCACCACCAGCAAAAAGAATTCTCCATCTCCCAGAAACCCCCCCCCCCAACAAAACAAATATTCTTCCCCCTACCTCAGCACATGTCCTCCTACACCATCTCCAAAATCCCTAGTCCTAGCACAACCCCTCCTTCTTCTCCATCCCAGTACTTATTCCCACCCATTTCAATTCCCCCTCCTAATACAAATCCTCTTCCCCTACCAGCACAGGCCCTCCTTCTCCCCAATACCCCTCTCAGAATAAATCCGCTTCCTTCCACCAAATCCCTTCACCAAATCTCTTCCACATCCCTTCTTTCCAATACTAATCTTCCCCCAAAATCTCTTACTTATTTATTTCAGGTACTTATATAGCGTCGTCAATTTACGCAGCGCTTTACATATGTATTGTACATTCACATCAGTCCCTAACCCTCAAACCAAGGTTCCTAACTTACATTCATACACATACTAGAGCCAATTTAGGCAGGATCCAATTAACCTACCAGCATGTCTTTGGAGTGTGGGATGAAACCGAAGTACCTGGAGTAAAACCACACAAGCACAGGGAGAACATGCAAATTCCAGGCAGGTGGTGCCATGGTTGGGATTCAAACCAAAGACCCTAGTACTGCCAGGTGGAAGTGCTAACCATTTAGCCACTCTTGTAGTACAAATATTTCTCCTCATCTATTACCCCCCCAAACAAAAAAACCCACTTCTAGCACCAACCCTCTCCCTGCAAAGTCCAGCTTCCCAGCACAAAAAATCTCCCACTCCCCAAATCTCCCTCCCAGCACAACTCCCACCCCCCCACACCCCCCCTCAAGCATAAATCCTCCTCCCAGTACAAATCCTTTACCCCAAAATCTCCTTCCAGCACAGCATGCTCCCCATCCTGTAACAATTCCTCTCCCTGCCTTCTCCAGCACAAATCATCTTTCCCCCAAGCCCTTCCTACACAAGTCCTCTCCCCATTTCCATCCCAAATTTTCCCACTCAAATCCCCCCTTGCAATACAAACCCCCCCCCAACACAAATCTACTCCCCCCCAATACAAATCTACACCTCCCAACTGCCCTGGTATTCATGGGCCTTTCCTGAGATTTGAACAGAACATTTGAACAAGTTCTGGCATTTGGCTCCAATAACTTGCCCAACAGGAGGGCACTAGCATGGGCATCCTGGGCAAGTGCCCTGCCTCTCTTTGGCTGCCGGGGTTCCAGATGCCATCTTCATTTCCTCTGTGGCAGCTGACATCTCTATTTTGGGGGAGCAGGGGGGAAAGATATGTGCTAGGGGGTGCTTTGGGAGGGGAGAGGGCTATTGCTAGTATGGGGGAGTTGGATATGTGCTGGGGGGGTATTTGTAAGGAGAGAGGGCTAGTGCTAGTGGGGGGGTTAGATATGTCCTTGGGGGGGGGCACTTTAGGAGGAGAGAGGGCTAGAGTTAGCAGGAAGGGTCAGATATATGCTGGGGGGTACTTTGGGAGGGGCGAGGGCTAGTGTTATACAAATAGTGCTCAGTGTCACTCTATTGCGCCAAAATCAGACTCCTATTATTCTAATAATTAATAAATCCTTGCTGCCACTTTAAATTTCAAAGACATACTTTAAACATATTCCACAATGTGTATAGTGAAAAAGTAGAGCAAACACCTTGCAGTGTCAAATAATAATATGAGCCGTATATTATTGTGGTCCGTATATCGGAAGTGCCATAGACCGGAAGTGACGTGGGTGGCGTTTGCTGGATTATCCAATGGTGGTGAGAGCACAATGTGGTTCCAACTAACCCTTCACTATTATCATATGGGCTTGTCTTTTAATGCTACATTGTAAGAGCAATTTTTTAAGCAATAAACGCCTATTCATTGGGTAATACACCATTGGAGCGGTTTTTGTTTTTGCTTCCTTTACATGATACGATGGAAAGTGGAATAGCTAATATATGGAGGATTGAATCGTTTGGGCAACTCATAGAGATATATTTGTGGATGACCTCCCAGCACACATCATTGGAATTATTCCTTCCTGCTTGCATTTATGATTAATTTGGTGAGTGTACACCTGAGTGGGGGATACACAGAGAGCACGGAAGGATTCTTATTTGAGCACAATTTTTTCTCATCATGGGACTTTCTATTTTAGTTTATTATTTTATTCAGTTCTTGGATGTGGACTTTAGTTTTTATTAGAACTAACACACAATTATAGTTTCATGTGTTAAATTTTATTTATATTTTTTATATATATTTATATATTTTATTACGTATTGATGTATTTTTTAGGTTTAGATTTTTTATGTTATTGCTAATGTATGAGTATGGGTGTGTTGTGACAGGTTACTGAGGTCCCTCTCATGACATACAAAAAGCTCATATTATTAGTTTGACACTGCAAGGTGTTTGCTCTACTTTTTCACTATACACATTGTGGAATATGTTTAGAGGGCTAGTGTTAGCATGGGGGATTTGGGTCGGATATGTACTGGGGGGCACTTTGGGAGAGAAGAGTGCTACATCTAGCAGGGAGTGGTGGAGGGAGTTGGATATGGGGGGAGTTGGGGCGCTTTGGGAGGAAGAGAGCTAGTGCAAGTGGGGGGGTAGGATTTGTTTTGGGGGGTCCTTTGGAGGGAGGGCTAGAGGTAGCAAGGGGTCAGATATGTGCTGGAGGGGCGCTTTGGGAGGGAAGAGAGCTTGTACTAGAGGGGGGGGGGGGTGGAGCAAATTTCAAATCCAACCCACACTTCTAGCATAAGTCCTCTTCCCTGCCAAAGTGCCCCCCCAGCATATATCCACTTAACCCCCCCCCCCCCCAATCACTCCAAGGAAAGTACAGCTTTTTTAACTTGTTCCCTTCCCAGCCACTCTGTCCCCCTCCCTTCTCTGTCCCTCTGCAGAGTATAATAAACTTTGTACAGACCTCAGATCAGCGGGTGTCCTTCCTCCTCTCCCCTCCTCCTGTGTGTGTAAACAAAGGTGACCTGCTGCTGGCACAATCTGTTCTGAATAATGTGTCCGGGTCTCAGGCAGACATAAACCCGTTCACATTATGCAAAACCCAGACTGTCTGGGTTAAACCCGGATAGGTGGCAACCCTAGTGCAGCAATACACTTATATTTTCAAAATTAAGTTGGACAAGAATGTAAATACAAAAGAAAAAAAAAAAGGAGCATGCTAACCTGAGCAATTTGGTCAATGAAAAGTGATATAACAATGCACAGTACAAGCAAAGCAGAAGTGAACCAGGTATTTCTATTTAAATTTAAGGTCTTTTTTAATGTGGCCGTGTTTTTAATGAAGAACAGCTTATTTAACTTAAAAAGGTGTACTTGTGTTCCTTGTACTCTTTTCCCTGGGTGTGTGGTTATTTAACCACCTGCCGCCCGCCATATAGTACAATGACGGGCGCAAGGTGGTTCTCTTGTTCTGGGACGGCGTCATATGACGTCGTCCCATTCTAAGCACGCATGCGCGGCTCCGGGAGCGCACAGCGCGGCGATCGGCAGTACGCTGTGTCTCCCGGATACAGCGGATCACCGAGCAACGGAAAGAGCCGAAGATGACAGCTCGGTCATGTGATCAGCTGTGTCCAATCACTGCTGATCACATGTAAATAGGGAAATGCTGGTTATCTGCATTTCTCTCCTCACGGGCTGTCACGCTGACAGCTCGAAAGGAGAGGAGAGCCGGTAATCATCATCCCTCAGAGGGGACATCTACACTGATCATCAGGGCACTGATGATCAGTGTGCCCTGATGATTTGTGTAGCCCCAGCAGTGCCACCTGTCAGTGTCCATCAGTGCCAGCTGTCAGTGCTCATCCATGCTACCTGCCAGTGCCCATCAGTGCCACATCAATGACACATATCAGTGCCTACCAGTGCACATCAATGCCACATATCAGTGCCCATCTGAGCTGCCTTTCAGTGTCACCCATCAGTGCCACCTGTCAGTGCCACCTATCAGTGCTGCCAATCAGTGCCAGTCAGTGCCACCTATCAGTGTGCATCAGTGCAGCCTATCAGTGCCCGTCAGTGCTGCCTATCAGTGCCGCCTAACAGTGTCAGTCAGTGCCACTTAACAGTGCCAGTTAGTGCCGCCTATCAGTGCCATATATGAGTGCTGCCTTTCAGTGCCCATCAGTGATGCCTGTTAATGCCCATCAGTGCCACCTACCAGTGCCTCCTCATCAGTGTCCATCAGTGCAGCCTATCAGTGCCCATCACTGCAGTCTCATTAGCGCACATCAGTGAAGGAGAAAAATCACTTACTTATAAAATTTTATAACAAAAGTAAGAAAAAACTTTTTTTTTCAAAATTTTCTGTGGTTTTTGGTTTGTTTAAGAAAAAATAAAAAACCCAGAGGTGATTAAATACCACCAAAATAAAACTCTGTCTCAAAAAAATGTAAAAATTTCATATGGGTACAGTGTTGCATGACTGCGGAATTGTCATTCAAAGTGTGATAGCGCTGAAAGCTGAAAACTGGCCTGGGCAGGAAGGGGGTATAAGTGCCCCGTAGGCAAGTGGTTGAGGACCCCCACCCCATTCTACAAGTGGCTTCCGGATTTTGATAATTCCCTCTTGAAAACCTTCCCATCCTCTTTATGGGGGGCAATAACCTAGTTCTCCTGCTCAGTCCACAATGCTCATCACCTATCAGTGTTCACTAGCCTGTACTCTTGGACCTCTCTGCTGCCTTTGACCACCCATTCGTGCTCAAAAATTCCTGTTTGCATCTGTGACTCATGACTTTTATTGGTTTGCCTCCTACCCATTTCACCGCAGCTTTGGTGTCACTTACAACTCTACCTTTTTTCTTCTTCCTTTTTTTGTTGGGGTCCCCCAAGGATCAGTCCTTCAACCCATTTTTATTATCTATTGACACCTTCTCCCTGGGTCAGCTGATAGCTTCCCCCAGTTTTCAATACCATTTCTATGCTGATGACACCCAAATTTACTGTATTATAATGGTATAAAGCGCCACACAAATTATTAATCACACAAACAAAAGTGCAGCTCTCAGTCCAATACCCCCCTGGGTATGTAAGTCATGGTGTTATACCAGCAAAAGCACACCACTTCGTATTCCAATCTTTCCATTTTCCCATCAAGATCTCCTTTCCCAAAATGTGTCATATGCCATATACCGTATTTTTCGCTCCATAAGACGCACCTGACCATAAGACGCACCTAGGTTTTAAAGGCAAAAAAACAGGAAAAAAAAATTCTGAACCAATGGACTGCAGACATAGTACAGGAGATGACCAGAGACTGCGGACACGGTACAGGAGATGACCAGAGACTGAGGACACAGTACAGGAGATGACCAGAGACTGCGGACATAGTACAGGATATGGCCAGAGACTGCGGACATAGTACAGGAGATGACCACAGACTGCGGACACAGTACAGATGACCAGAGACTGCGGACATAGTACAGATGACCAGAGACTGCGGACATAGTACAGGAGATGACCAGAGACTGCGGACATAGTACAGGGGATGACCAGAGACTGCGGACATAGTACAGATGACCAGAGACTGCGGACATAGTACAGATGACCAGAGACTGTGGACATAGTACAGGAGATGACCAGAGACTGCGGACATAGTACAGGAGATGACCAGAGACTGCGGACATAGCACAGGAGATGACCAGAGACTGCGGACATAGTACAGATGACCAGAGACTGCGGACATAGTACAGGAGATGACCAGAGACTGCGGACATAGTACAGATGACCAGAGACTGCGGACATAGTACAGGAGATGACCAGAGACTGCGGACATATTACAGATGACCAGAGACTGTGGACATAGTACAGGGGATGACCAGAGACTGCGGACAGTGCAGGGAATAACCAGAGACTGCTGACCTTTGGGGAGGGAGGGGGAGCGGGTACCTGAATTTGACAGGTACCCGCTCCCACTTCCGCGGCGTTGTCCTTCTCTCTTCTTCCAGCACCGGCTTCTGTGATAGCCGGGTCCCACTGCGCATGTGCGAGAAGCGCTGTGCTTTGTGAATGGCCCGGCGCCTTCTGGGACCTGTCATGTGTCCCAGAAGACACCGGACCATTCACAAAGCGAAGCGCATGAGCAGTGGGCACCCGGCTGTCACAGAAACCAGCGCGGGAAGACTGTGCAGCGCTGGAGCGAGGAACAGGTAAGGCCCTGTAAGAGAGAACAGCTGAGCGGCCGGCCCGGTATTCTGACATGGTGGCGGCAGAAATACCGGACCGGCCGCTTTATATTCGGTAATCTCTCTCTCTCCTGTGATCTTCCAATGAGCTGATACAAATCTCCAAAAGAAAAAAACTAATATAGTGTAGTATTTCTTATACTCAAAAATTACATATGCAGCTACAGTATGTGCAATAAAGTGTGCAATAAGCAAAGAATAAAAAACTAAATACTCTAAATACTCTTACCCTCTAAGGGTGAAAATTGTGCATTTCACTTTTAAACGTGAATCAGATCCACAATACCTGTGTCCATCCTTCATCCACCACCTGTGTGCAAAGCCAAAACAATGTGCTCAATCCCTTTCCCTTCAGTCATGCACCTTACGCTGCATATCTTGAAAATAGTCTTTTCACAATCAAATATCAACGTGCGCAATCGCCTCCTCACGAGGCAATGAGGAAGTCGATCCAATGTCAAAAAGCGTCAGATGGATGTAACAGACACAACTGGATGTGCCACGGTGGCCATTTTGGAAATTGGTAGAAGCAAGCTGCTTGTATTCCAAACACACGTAAGCGCAATTTTTACATTAATAAACTGTATTTTAAGCAATATTGCACTATGGGAGTATGCTTATTTTTCATGGTCATTGAGAATTTGTGAAGTAATGAGTCCATGGAAATAACTCCATATATAAACACCAGTGAAAATTAATTATTTGAAAGAAATCTTGCGAGCCAAATAATAAAATTCCTGTTGTTGGATCGCAAACCTCTAGCACATAACTACCAATGTGAAAAAACGTGAAATAAAGATAAATATAGTATTGCGCTCACAACCCTTCAATCTAAACATCTAAACAATTAAAATGTGTATTGATAAACATAGATGACTGTAATTGTGAATCTTTAAGAGTCCACTTAAATAAACAATATGCATAGGACAGTGAAAAAACTAATAAATGAAATAAAAATGAAAAATAATTATGATTCTGTATAATAATAATATTGTCCCACAGAAACAGTGACTTTGTGCTGAAAAATCTTCAATATCATTAAATCGGTGACTGCTTGTGCCTCCTCCCTCAAGTGAAGATATGCGCTCACCTCATAGAAAGCCTGCAATTAGGCTATTAAAGCTTGCGGTTCACCTCCTTTGGAACCTACTTGTTTAAGAACTCCTGTTAGTGAGATATCCATGGAATGCGACATGTGCTATGGAAAAAATCTCCTCTCATGGGGTGCCCCTCCAATATCTTCCTGTCTCCATGCGGTTCTCCATATACAAGAAAAATCCTGACATGGTGCTTTATCGTTTTAAAACGATAAAGGTCCGATCAGACCACGAGCGCACAGCTCCGGCAGTCAGCGGCGGTCTGAAATATATTTGCACTACTACCACTATACGAATTTATGTGAGTGCTACCTGTCAGCATAATTAAAGCTTTTAAAACGATAAAGCACCATGTCAGGATTTTTCTTGTATATGGAGAACCGCATGGAGACAGGAAGATATTGGAGGGGCACCCCATGAGAGGAGATTTTTTCCATAGCACATGTCGCATTCCATGGATATCTCACTAACAGGAGTTCTTAAACAAGTAGGTTCCAAAGGAGGTGAACCGCAAGCTTTAATAGCCTAATTGCAGGCTTTCTATGAGGTGAGCGCATATCTTCACTTGAGGGAGGAGGCACAAGCAGTCACCGATTTAATGATATTGAAGATTTTTCAGCACAAAGTCACTGTTTCTGTGGGACAATATTATTATTATACAGAATCATAATTATTTTTCATTTTTATTTCATTTATTAGTTTTTTCACTGTCCTATGCATATTGTTTATTTAAGTGGACTCTTAAAGATTCACAATTACAGTCATCTATGTTTATCAATACACATTTTAATTGTTTAGATGTTTAGATTGAAGGGTTGTGAGCGCAATACTATATTTATCTTTATACCAGTGAAAATTAACTAGTAGAAATGAAGATTAACCTCCCTGGCGGTATTCCCGAGTGTAGCTCGGGGTAAAGTTTCAGTACCACAAGCGGTAACCCCGAGCTACACTCGGGCTTACCATGCAGCGCTGCTCCGGGATCTGTTCTTCACTTACCTTGTCCTGCGCTCCCGTGATGTCCCTCCTGCAGTGTCCCCGGCAATGTAATCCGGCGGATGCCGGCATCTGTCATCTGGGTACCGTCTGCGAGCGTCGGGACGTACGGGGGATGGAACGGCGGAAAATTTGAAAATGACAAAAAGTGACATTCACTGAATACACTAAAATCACATAGTAAAACATTACTGTATCAAAGCATTTCACATACATTTTGTCCCTAGTGCTTTGTCCTGTGCCCTGCCTGCATTTTTACTGTTCTTTCTGCCTGGAAACTGAGAAATGTCCATGGCGTCCAATAAGGGTCCCTTTAGGTCAAAATCGGTTTTAGACCAGCTAGAGAACAGCAATAGTAAATCAGAACCACTTGCAGAATTGAGTGATAATGATTCGTAGGGAAATTCGTCATCATTCGTCATGCGACTTTGCTCAGTGATGTGCGAACTTGGCGCTATATTTTAAATTTCAGTGTTTTTGGTTTGATTACATTATTAAATTAAATTTATTATTTATATTTTTCTTTTTTATGATTATTTATTAAATTATAATTTATGATTTCGTGTTTCAAATTGTAAAATACCCGGGATGTTTACTAGACAGATTTCAGTGAGTTATAACTAAAAATTACAGGCCTACAATAAAAGAAATACATATTTCCATGCAAAAAAAATGTACCGCTTTGAGCACAGAAATATGGACATAATCATACCGCTAGGGAGGTTAAAGTGTCATCATAGG